TTGTTTGATGTGTCCGTCTCCTTTTCTCAGTGAGGTTCTTCTTGATCAGCTACACATCCTTTCAGACCCACAGCGCTGAGTCGTCTTCTCACAGTGGAAGGATGGACAGAAACACCTGTGGATGTTTTCAGATCTGATCAGCTTGATTTTCTCTTCTCTCTCAGAGATGAAAGCTTTAAGTGCTGTTTATCTGATGGGGGCAGTTTTGGGGTCGACCAGCTCTTCCAGGTGGTCGTAGGGCTAAACGATTAATCGCTTTGTATCAAAATCACAGTCTGACAGAGTGCAGTTTTCAAATCGTCAGAGCAGCAGTTTAAAGTCTGTATTATTAACACTGTTTTCTTAAGCTTTAAAAAGATGGAGCTTGTGATCTGCCTGTAAATGTGTTAAAACAAACGCAACCAAACATCCATGTAGAGGTGAACAATATGACGATATTTTATCATTATTGTGATGATATTGTGTTATCATGGTAAACTAACTGGCAGCCTGGTGTACTGCATTCTGCATTGAAGCATCAACTCAGACTGAAAATGCATATTCTGGTCTTCATGGCCAAAAAAACAGGCCTTTAATTTATAGAAAACAATCACATTTCAAATTGCAATATTTAAAATCTCAGTATTGGTTAGAAAAATCGCAGTTAGATATTTTTTCCCAAATTGTCAAGCCCTCTGTGGTTGTTAGGAGCCCCATTTTCTCTGTAGCTTTTACAAATTTTTTAACTCCAGTTTTGGAAACTCCTTTTTTTTGTTTGACTTTTTCCTTCCTTATAGAAGTGGATTATCTAATGTCGAATCCTCACACACATCTCGTGAAAAACGAACAGCTTGTACTTAATGGCTGTTTTGACTGGAAATTAAATGAATGAAATGTTTAAAAACCTAAACTTTTAGACTTACAGTGTATTAAAAGTGATAGTGTTTGCTAGAGTGACATTTTTGCACTGAGCCATGGACCCTTTGTCTTAACTGGCATCAGATATACATGTCAAATTTTTAAAGATCATTCAGTGCCAGGTAAGAGCTTTTGGAAAACGAATTTCAGTGCTTAGCCCTAATTATGATTGGTTTGCATCTCACGTCGCTTCAGGGATTGCTGCTGCTGTAAATGCACTGCCTGAAGACAGAGCTCTGCTGACAGTAATACTGGCTTGAAACCCTCTAGTAGCTTTTGATTGCTGTTCCCCAAAGTCCAGATAGTAAATCTCTTGGAGGCTTTCCTTCATTTCCCTTTATGACAGGGACCTGTCCTGCACTGCCTGCTTTGCTTTGAAATCCCTCTCACCCATTTAAACATAAATCTTCGTGTAGATACAGTAGATGGATCTCTCAAAATGTCTTAATATTTCAGTCTATCGTCAAAGGCTTGCTTGTAGGAGTGCCTTTGGTTTTGTATCTGTCAAACCCGAGAGGTTCTTGTATATTATTGTGCTATTCAATGTTATTTATTCTCCTCTTTTTTGATGCCTTAAACATCTGGGTTTGATACAGTACTGTGCAAAAGTCAGAGATATTTCTGAGGAGATTAGATGCAAGATAATCCACTTGCATGAGGAAGAAGAGTTTCCAAAACTGTAGTTTAAAAAATACAGAGAAAATGGGGCTCCTAACAACCACCTGGAAGAGCTGGTGGACACCAAAACTGCCCCCATCAGATAAACAGCACTCACCAAGAAATTGGACTAGATCTGAGATCTGGAACAAGTCCAAATTTGAGATCTTTGGAAGTAACAGAAGGCTTTGTGTCCTCCATCAAAGCCATGATAGACTCTTCAAACCGTGTCAAACATCAGTCAAGCACGGTGGAGGATCAGTGCAAGTTTGGGGACGTATAACAACATCTGGAGTCGGTCATTTTGACCGAAGGCATCATGAACGTTAATACATACAAAAACAATCTGCATACATCATGCAATAATCTCTGAGAAACGTCTGATTTCACAAGATAACAACCCCAAGCACACTGATGAGAAGATCTTGGTGTAACTATCAAACAAAGAAGCTGCTGTTGTTCTCAGAACAATAGACTGACCACCCCAAAGTCCAGACCTCAGCATCACTGAATGTGTTGTGTAGGCCTCAGCAGACTTCTTGTGGAGACGATGTTCGTCTGGCTTCAGCGAACAATATGATGTAATTGCGGAGAAAAGGAACAACTGGAGACGTCGCGTGAGGCTTTGTACGCCGGCAGCTGGGCGAACTCCATGAACGAAGACGCTACGCGACAAAGCCTCTGATAGATCGGTAAAAAAGAGGCTTGCCATTAAACAACGATGGACAACTTTGAGGAGCTTCGGCAGACACACTAATGTTTCACTGTGAAACTCGCTTTTGTTAAATAAACAGTGAAGATCTCCTAAACGTAAGATATTAAGTCTATTATTCGGTAGTACTAACTAGCACTGAGCACCAAAACATACAGCTTGTCTTATATTTAGGTTCACAACAGGACGAGCTGAAGTTGGCTTTCTATTCACCAGCTTCTTGTTCAAATTTTCCCGCTCCACCTTAAATGGTGGCGCTATTCTGTACTCAAACGTCGCCATATTTAGAACAGTGAAAGAATCGTTTTCCAGCAGTCATGAAACTGATCATAAAATGCCATAGTGACACGGAGCATCCGCGACACAAACTGCAGAAAGTATGTGAGGTTGCAAACTCGCGAAAGCGCTTTCGGCTTCACACACGCTGAGGCCTTAAGACTGAACTTTGGAGGTGTGTCTGCAGATTCTTTGAGGAACTGAAAGCGAGTCTCCTGAAAAGAATGGAAGCTGGAATAAAAGAGAAGAGTGACTCACTGACTCACACAGCTGAGAGTAGATTTAGTTTGTATTTTCTCCTTTTTTTTCCTGACGCTGAAAACGGAATAACTTGTACTTAATGGCTGTTTTGACTGGAAGTTAAATTAATGAAACGGTCGCTGACTTTTCAACAGTACTGTATGTTGAATATATATGTTATATAAAGATTCTGTCGTAATATTTCAAGAAAATAAGTCACACTTTTTTGAGAAAGAAGTCGTAGAATTTCGACATTACAGTGGCATTAATACCAGGAAAGGCCGCAATATCGTGGCCAAAGGCTTTGCGAAGGGAAGCAGCACCTCCTCGTGTTAAATGAGGGGCGGTGAGTTGGTGGAGCTCTACTTTCATATCGATTCACCCATAAAGAAACACTCAGACTCCCTGTCTCTCCTGCACATCAGCACCAGCCTGTTATTAGTGTAAGAACCGGCTGAAACAGCTGAGCAGGAAACTGTGTTTATCTAGAATAAAGAGCCAGACGGACTCGGAGGAAACTGTCTGTCTGTGTTGTTGAAGGAGAATCTCAGGCAGGGTCGTCTACACGGCTATCGGGGCTCCATCTCCCCCCATTCAAAGAGGGCATGAAGTTTCACAGACAGTGAGAATGATGATCAAAATGATCCACAGAGAGACAGGAGAGAGTGGAGCTCCGGCGTCAGGAGAGCAACCGAGACCCCAACACAGTTAGCCCCCTTTATCATCTAAATAGTATGACTTTTCTCGAAATATTAAGAATTTTTTTCTCCGAATAGTATGACTTTTTTCTTAAAATAGTACGACTTTTTCTCTCTAAATATTACAACTTTCTTCTTGAAAAATTATGACTTTATTCTCGAAATATTATGACTTCATTCTTGAAGTCTGCTATTTTTATTTTTATCAACAGTGGCCCTAAAACAAGTAACACCCATTTAGAGGATAATGAATCTGAGAGCACACCGAGAGACTCAAGTTGGAGTGACATACGGATTTAGGCATGTGTTGTGGTGGATGGTGTATGTGTAGCTATTAGCCTGTTAGCACTTAGCCAACCTAATAGTGAGAGGATAGTGGGCCACTGTTGGTCCGCTGAAGACACAGCTGTCTGGGCGGCTCACCGGTGCTTAAGCAGAGTAATAGACAAAATTCCACTTATTATCGCTGATTTTCCACTCACAGTCCAGTTTACTGATTTTTCTTTTTTTTTGTTATACTTAGTGAATTACTGTATTAAATAATTTTAATCTGGCACAGTGTCAGCAACTTTTTCTGTAAAATCATTTTACATTAGGCCTAGTCATTATTTAGTTGTTTGTAATGTACATCTTAGTTTATTTTCCAAAATAAAAGTCTGTGTGCATTTTAACTCTGTTTGAGGAGATTAAAACTAGTTAAAGTTTTATGTAGGACAGTAATCTGGGTGGTCTGAGGGTCAGCGGGGTGCCGACCTTATCAAAAAAAGAAACCGGAACCGGTCTCACGAGTCCAGACCTGTGCAGAATGGCCCAGTATGGCCCTGAGAACCATTTGGCTCAACAGTGGAAAAGAAGCCATCGTTGCCATGTTTTTTTCTTTTAGTAGACATATAAACGGTTTTGGTAGTCACTGTGTTTTGTATGTTAGATGTTATATGTTAGCTTGCTGTGTGCCCTAATTGTTCTTCTTTATTATGGAGTGTTTGGAACGGCCTGCTCAGTTTGTAGACTGGAATGTGGTGAGAAAGGACTTGGGCTGATTTCGCCTGTACACTAGTCATAACTACATTACATAACATTACATAACATTACATGACTCTGACTGACGCTTCCATTTGCCGTACAGAGGATAACAGTGTGTTTCCTAATCCTAACCTCAGTCTGGACTGGCAAGAGTTCTGCCTCAGTAACTGATGCCTCTAATTTGTTTGGGTCTGTTTTTGACCTTGTGGCTGCACAGTAGACAAAGACACTGGTGTAGTGTTGTTTTTAACCCCCTGCTCTCTTTCGTGCAGTAGCGAATGCTCTCTGTTTAACCCAGTGTTCCTCTCCAAATTGCATGTGGGGGTAACCGGAGGCCCTTGCATTGCTCATAGCAATACTAATATTGCCCCTAGAGTGATCAGGGTGCAGCCAGCTGGATTAGCAGGATACTAACAGGACCCAGTGTTGAACCCTGAGGCACTTTTTTATTGTTATTTTTTATTTCTGCTCATGTTTTTTCATCTGATCCTGTGCAGAGCATCGCGAAGGCTGTGGGTAGCTCTCCAAGAGGCAGTGTGAATGGAGATGGAGCTGCCTCCCCTTTGGTAAGCACCATATTTCTGGCACCACACACTGACTTTATAATAATAACTTGTTTATAAAGTTCTCATGGTGGCTCAGAGTACTATGATGACGATTAAAAGTAATAAATTATTAAATAAAAATCATGTCAAACAATGACACAGATCAAATTAAAAGGATAAACACAAAGAGATGTAGCATTTTAATTATATGCTGAGGTACACTGCAAAAAATGATATCTTAGCCAGTGAAAACATCTTGAGTCTAGTCCATATATCTAATATTTCTCATTAGGAGAGAGCTGTAGGAATATTATACGATTATTTAACTAATTTCTAGACATTTCTTACTTGTTTAATGTCATTTTATCTTATGAAAGTGTATTATTATTTCATTGGCAGATCATTTTACTTGTTTTAAGCATTATTTCTTGAAATAAGCAAAATTATCTTAATTATTTCTCAAAACAAGTAAAATGATCAGCCAATGCAATAAGACACTTTCACAAGATAAAATTGCTGAAAAGAAGTAAAAATGACTTGGAATAAGTTGAACAATCTTAAAACATCCTTACAGCAGGATGTTATGTCTCATAATGAGAAATATTAGATATATTGGCTAGATTTAAGACGTTTTCACTTGCTACCGTATCATTTTTTGCAGTGTAAAAAGAGCTGCGTTTTCAGATGTTTGTTAAAAGTGAGCACTGAACTTGACTGTTTAATAAAAGATGATTTTGTAATTAGTTACTATGAGTCACATCTGTTCAGTTAACTGCCAGCGATTACAGAATCCTGGATCCACAGTGCAGTTTTAAACACCTCTGCTGTACAGAATTTTTAAACATTTTACTCTATTATACTCATAATATTTTTCTAAAGCAGAGAACATCACAAACTTAGTGTCAGTTTTTCCATAGACTAAACAGGACCGGACCTGTTTGTGCTTTTATGCGAGACACAAACTGGGGATGAACATATGGTTAAGAAACACTGATGCCACAGTGAGAGCTGGAGAATATTTCACTTCAGCTGAGCTGAAGTTGTAAAGAGAGTAACTGGACGCCTGGATCCACATTATAAACATGATAAAGGTTCTTATCTACCTGGGTTCAACATGCAGCTCCTATGTCTCCCCAGTCTGCTGCTCATGCATGTCTCTGCCCTTTTTCTCTCTCCTGGCTCTCTCGTTGGCTGTTGCCTGCGTCAGTCGTTCAGCCGTGTCCGAACTCGTGAACATTTTGAGTCATAAATATCAAACATGTTTGAAAAAGTCAGAGGAGCTCAGATCACTCTGGAGCTCGAAAGGCTGAAGATTCACTCGTTTCTCCTCTCAAACCACCGGATTTTACGCGCCGTCCGTCACTTCCCATCAAGCTCCCAACCTGGAAAATCATTTCAGATTGTGAAAATGTGTTGTGAGGGGCAAATCGTGTGGCGTAGACCCAACTTTAGTGTGTCTATTATAAAGGTTGAGATTGATTTTAGTTTTAAAAATCACTTTCATCGTTTTACTGTGACGTCAGCATTGATTTTCATTTCCGTTCACTCAGGCTAAACTTAACGTAAAATAAAAAGTAGAAGGAGAGCGGTGCGGTAGATAAAGCTACCATTACGGAACGTAACCGGGACGCACACACACTAAAGGAATGTGATCCCTAGTTTGCCAACATATTTAGCTGATTAACAGTAAAATAGTCCTGTCTAGTTCTGTGTCAGTTTCCCAACATGCCAATTGTCGCCTTTTACGCATCGTCATCGGGTTACTTGTCGACCATTTACGATATCCGATATAACCGCCCGGTTGTCTAGACCTACACTGTATTAACTGAATGACTATTTAAGATTTACTTCTGACCTTCACTGGCTTTAGTTAAGAGGCCAAGTAGGGGTTTCACAGTATGACAGTATTTATCATTATCATGATTTACCCCACCCAGCTGATAAATTACACCACCCAGGTTTCCTGTTTAAGGTTTGGTATACGAAACTAAAGAACCTTCTCATAAAGCAGCATTCTCTGAATTTTAGTACCAAGGAACATATCACTCTAACAAGAGTGTATCACTATACACTCTTAAAAACAATGGTTATTTAAAGGTTCTTTAGTAAAGAAAATAGTTTTAAATAGCACCATGAACACTCAAAGAACCCTTTGCATGATTGAGAGGTTCTTTGCATTGTGAAGAGGTTCCTCAGATTGATGGGGAATGTGTTGTAGATGGTTCTGTGTAGAACTTTTCGAAAAAATGGCTCTATATAGCAATGAAACATGTTTTGCTATTGTTAAGATATGAGCTTGTAACCATAGAAGAACCCTTTTTGGTGCTATATAGAACCATCTACAACCCATTCTCCTCCCATCTGAAGAACCCTTTCACAATGCAGTCATGCAAAGTGTTCTTTGAGTGTTCTTGTTTCTATCTAGAACTATTGTCTTTACTAAAGAACCTTTTAAGAACCATCCTTTTTAAGTGTACAGCTCCACAGTAGGCTTTTCTGAGCATATTTTGGATATCGTCAGTACTTAAAATCACTTCCCAACTGCCTGCAAATCAAATACATAGTTTTAATATCACTTAAAAATAAAGGACTACTTGGTTTTTCCAACTTACTGGATGATAAATAGCAAAGATAAATTATTGAGGCATATATTTTATCCTTAAAACATCTTGAATAATAATAAATAGTAATAATTATCGGATAATCATTTTAATAAACAATATAATAATAATAATAATAATAATAACAATAATAACAATAATAATAATGAAATAATAATACGTTTGATTTATATAGCGCCTTTCTGGGAAGTATGGTGATATTACATTTCTGCCATATCAGCCACTTCTAAGTTCAAACACTCCATCTTGTGTGTTTTCTTCTTGTCCAGAGGGACGAGCCACAGTCCCTTGCGCAGAAGCTGCAGCAGCGCGTGTCCTCAGTGGAGTCTCTCTTTCGAAGTTCGGGCCGTGCCGAGGGCCTCTTCCGCTCCGGCTCCAGGGAAAGTCTGGTCCGCAGCCCTTCCCGGGACTCCCTCACCCCGCTGGGCGACAATGAGGCCACCCCCGCCTACGACCCCCCCTCTGACATCGAGAGTGAGGCGGAAGACTCTCCTGGAAATGCAGAGGCTCTTTCTAAAGAGCAGCTCCTGCATCGCCTGCACAGGGTGGAGAAGAGCCTGGCTAACTACAGGGGGAAATACTCTGAGGTACTGACTGCAGGATGGGAATCAGGATTAGCGCTTCAGAAAGATCTTTATTTTTCTTGGCCTACATGATGAATATATACTGACCAGGCATAACATTCTGACCACCTCCTTGTTTCTACGCTTATTGTCCATTTTATCAGCTCCACTTACTATATAGGTGCACTTTGTAGTTCTACAGTTACAGACTGTAGTCCATCTGTTTCTCTGATACTTTGTTAGCCCCCTTTTACCCTGTTCTTCAGTGGTCAGGACCCCCATGGACCCTCACAGAGCAGGTACTATTTGGGTGGTGGGTCATTCTCAGCACTGCAGTAACACTGACATGGTGGTGGTGTGTTAGTGTGAGTTGTGCTGGTACGAGTGGATCAGACACAGCAGTGCTGCTGGAGTTTTTAAACACTGTGTCCACTCACTGTCCACTCTATTAGACACTCCTACCTTGTCAGTCCACCTTGTAGATGTAAAGTCAGAGACGATAGCTCATCTGCTGCTGCACAGTTTGTGTTGGTCATCCTCTAGTCCTTCATCAGTGGTCACAGGACGCTGCCCACAGGACGCTGTCGGCTGGATATTTTTGGTTGGTGGACTATTCTCAGTCCAGCAGTGACACTGAGGTGTTTAAAAACTCCAGCAGCACTGCTGTGTCTGATCCACTCAGACCAGCGCAACACACACTAACACACCACCACCATGTCAGTGTCACTGCAGTGCTGAGAATGATCCACCACCCAAATAGTACCTGCTCTGTGAGGGTCCATGGGGGTCCTGACCACTGAAGAACAGGGTAAAAGGGGGCTAACAAAGTATCAGAGAAACAGATGGACTACAGTCTGTAACTGTAGAACTACAAAGTGCACCTATATAGTAAGTGGAGCTGATAAAATGGACAATGAGCGCAGAAACAAGGAGGTGGTCAGAATGTTACGCCTGATTGGTGTATATAAATAAAGTAAATCTGTGCTTCAACATAAGTTTCTTCATAGCTTATTGCATTTCTGCATGTATCAGGTATCTTTAGCTGATGCTCTAGTTTGTAAATGCAGCTGAAAAGCTCTCCATGCACCTTATGGATGTTTAGTGAGAGAGTTAATTTTAGTATTCAGGATGGAATTGATGTGGATTTTGTTCTCCCTCGTCTCTTCACAGCTGGTCACGGCCTACAGGACGGTACAGAGAGATAAAGAGAAAACGCAGGTAATTTTCATAAGCAGACAGTGATCCAAATCTGCAGATGAGCTGCTGTGTTGTCACTGCACACTAGCTGCCTCTCTGAATTCCTGCTCCAGCAGAACATCTGCTGAAGTCGATAAGGTGGGATTTCGAATGAGATTTGGCGCTTAGGCTGGTTATCCAGAGTGGATATTGCATCACATTGGGGAAACAGTTCACTGAGACAGAAAAACATGAATTAACATGATTTATTTGTGTTATTCGACCATCATAATAATTACCTATGCCTCATATTGACTTAAGCCCTATTTGAGCCAGATTGGTTTCACCAGAGGAGGTCCAGTAATGTCATTTTTAAGAGCTTTAACTCACTGAATATCTGTGTAATGTCTCCAGATTACCCCAGTTAGCCTGGACCAAAATGAATATATGTAATATTAAAGGGACTGCATCATGGCAAACTGGATTTTTGTCACTTTTCTTAGTGAAATAATTTGAAATAGAATATAAACACTGCTAAAATTTCAAAACAAACCTTTCACTCCCCTTTCCATACATACGTATATGGAAACAAAGCTGTTTTGAATTAATTGTTTCTGTGATGTCATGAAATGTCATTTTAAGCTCCGCCCATTCACACTTAAGTTTTAAGTAAAGTATTAGTTATAAAGCATCACATGGCAGAAAAAGTACAAAGCACTGCTACACTGTGACGGTTCTTCAAGGGTTCTTTAGTAAAGAAAATGGTTATATACAGTGTAGAACCATGAACACTCAAAGAACCCTTTGCATGATTATATTATTATTATTATTATTATTATATTGTTTATTATTATTTTATAAGTATTACTATTCATTAATATTCAAGACGTTTTCAGGATAAACAATATGCCTCAATAATTTATCTTTGCTATTTATTATCTAGTAAGTTGGAAAAACCAAGTAGTCCTTTATTTTTAAGTGATATTAAAAACTATGTATTTGATTTGCAGGCAGTTGGGAAGTGATTTTAAGTACTGACGATATCCAAAATATGCTCAGAAATGGTTATATATAAAACCATGTAAAACATATTCTCCATCTGAAGAGCCCTTTCATGATGCAAGGAACCCTTTAATCATTCAAAGGGTTCTTTGAGTGTTCATGGTTCTATTTAGAACCGTTTACTTTAACCTTTTTTTTAAGAGTGTATGCCACATAGACGTGTGAGAGTCTAATAAACGTCCAGCTCAAGTTAATTTTACACAAATTAAACTTTTAACATGAGAAATGATGAAAATTACTGTTAACATACTTTTAGCGTAAATTTCAAGCCACATGAAAAATGTGGTGGTCTTTAGGTTAGTAAAGTGGGCTCATTCACCTCGACACATGCCGCCCAATAGTATAGAGCAGGGGTGTCAAACTCAACCAGTAAAAGGTCCATATTAAAAAATTTAAACAAATCTGTGGGCCAGCTGTGTTTTTATTTCATATTTACTTAACATTCTGCCATGAACTGGATATTAATATGAATATCCCGAAACTACTGCGGCACTGAATACTTTAACCATTGAAAAATAATTTAAAATAAAAGCAGATTGTTTTATATAAACCTGCCCATTCGCTAGAACTAGACAGCTTTCATCTCTGTTTTTTTTTGTGATGCTGATCGTTGAGAGCACACATTACGTTGCAGTGCATGCTGGGAACTGTAGTGCACCTCATGGTGAAATGGGCTAATATAAATAGAAAATTAAAATCATTTTGCGGGCTGAATAAGATTGTGCTACTTGTCCCGTGGGCCTTGTGTTTCACACATGGGGTATGGAGCTCAGCTCTGCCCTGTGAGAGCTTCTTTAACGATATTTCATTTTCATTCTAATTAGGCCATCAGCAAAAGTGTTTTAGGTCACAGTGGTCCTGTTTCGAGCTTCAGGGTAAAGGGATCGTGCACAGCTCACTTAGCCTTGTTAGCCTCGTCTCCCGATCAGCGAAAAACAGGTGGTGGTGTTCTCTATTATTGCTGTGAGGTCAAAGGAGCTCTGGGTTTCTCTGATTATAGAGTTTAATTTGTTCCAGAGTTATTACTTATCAGACTACGGACATTGCAGATCTGTACTGAATTAAAATCACAGATCTCATCAGTAATCACTCAAATTACAGCAACTCTCCAGGAAAACTAATCCAGCTTCAGCAGGGACCCTAAATTTGGGATCCAAGTTTGAGTCTAGACAAATTTGTACTTTATTATTGATTAAGATGTCGTGTTTCTCTTCTGTTACAGGCTATTCTCAGCCAGAGCCAAGACAAAGCACTACGGAGAATAGGAGAGCTCAGAGAGGTATGCTCACACAGCCAGCCCCTCAGTTTTGCCATTGTTTTCTCCATACTTCACTGACCTACACTGTAAATGTTCCCTCAAAGGTACAACAGTGGTTTTAGGGTCTGATTGTGAACCTTAAATAAGTGTTTCCAGGTGAAAAGTTCGTATTTGTACCTTTTCATAACCGAATGTTTTAAACAGAACAGTAAAATAAAAGCCTGGAGACGAGACGGGGTGTGTGGAGTCAGTACAGCTTAGAACATATCATTTCAGTGGATTATGGTTCAGTTATGTTCCCTGACTAAAGGTACTTGAGGGTTCCACCCCAGTGACAAGAGGGGAACTGACCCAGTGACAGTTGTACATTTATTTCTGAGAGTGTAGATAAGTAAGCTTAATCCTAGACTAAAAAGGCTTCAATTGTACATTACTAGTACTAAATTAGGCTTAATCTGTGTCTAACCATACAGCTGAAAAACATTGCTGAGCTAGTTTGTGTTTAACAAGAGACCAAATATTCTCTATAGGGTTTAAATCTGGACTCTGAACAGCCCAAAACCAGCAGTAACAACCATTATATTTTGTGCTTTGCCCGTTTATTTGGAAACTGAATTCCTAGTTACGGGTGGGCAACGTGTCTGAAAGTAATATCATGATACCTAAAGACATTTTCACAATACACAGTATGCATCTTTGATAGTTTTGATAAGTTAAAAAAAAACAGAAGGGCCTCGTTTAAAAATAATATCAAAACTATGAATGCAATGATTTTTATTTTACATTTCACTAGAGCTGGGCGAAATGGCCAAAAGTCTTATCACGATAAAAAATTTCATATCAGTCAATATCGATACATATTGCAAAGAAAGAATCATTATTACTTTCGAGTTTGAAGGCTGATTTTTGCTCCTGAGCGATAATTGTCGTTTTAAACTATCCTTTATGGTCAGAACAGGACAAACACTCACCAAACAGTGGAACGTTTCACAAATCTGTCATGGGACAGTGGGAGAGAGTGTCTGATCAGCTGTTTTTACCAGCTGGAAAAGCATGACCGCAGTTTTTGTAATCGTCATAATTTAAGAAAGAAAAGAGATTATTTTTAGCTGTCTGTTGGTGAGCGCTCGGCTACCTGGTTGCAAGTGCTAAACTGATTAGTGTCTCAACAACGTCAGCTTAATACGAACAGCAAACATTAGCTGGCTCGGTAGGTCAGTGCTGGATCACGCTGTCTTACTGCCATCACTCCTACCACATCCATGTCAGAGCATATCACAGTGTTCAGACACCAGCTAGCAGACGACTGGGTTTCTCTATAGTAATTTGAGGGGTGAACTGCAGTATATCTGACACTCGCTGTGTAAAAGCATTAACTGCAGTGTGAATCTCTCACACCAGACAAACAGAGCCTCCTTTTAGCTACGTTTAAACTGAAATCAGTGCTTTTTTGTCTTGTTTGATCTACAGTATCATCAGTTCTCCGTGCTGTGTGAGTGACAGAGCGCTGCTTCAAGTTAGCTGCTAAAAACAGATAGCATGGCAAGATAGCGTTCTCTCACTCTCCAATGCCTCACAGCTTCCTCAGTTTACTTTCATTTAAATCAGGGCTGTAATTAACATGAACCACTTCTTTCTTTCACTTTCATTGCTTGTGAATCCACTAACACTAAAATATGACTGAGCACTGTAACAGCCCTGTAGTTGTGATGATCAGACGTGATGTAACGCAGCTAAAGCTGGTTAAGATGTATGTAAAGAGGTGAGTTCACTGTAGGACAGTATAGTTATGCCACCTGTCTCCTCACTCACACTCAGCCACAGGAGAACAGATCACCGGTCGCTCCACTCAAACAGGGAATGTACACCTCCACGTTTCAGACGTTGCTAAAGTATATTTGGCGACTCATTTCACTCCTTGACCCTCCCTCTCTAATCATTTTGAAAAACTCGGAAGTGCACCCTCTTGTGGCGACAGCAGAGTAGTGTCACTTTCCTTGCAGTAGAAGATGCTGTCAGGGCTGTCGCTAGAACACGGAAGTGTGAGAATGCTCTAACATATCGAACATTTATCAAACATTTCTTATAGTGCTATCAAGGAAAGTTATATTGCGATAATTATTGTTATCGTTTTATCGCCCAGCCCTACATTTCATATACTGAGCTGTACTAAATCCAGGATTAATTATGCTCTATTCGTAATAAAACATGCAGTTCAGTGTTCTTGAAGTACTGATGATATCCACGATGTGCTCAGAAGAACATATTGTGATGTATTTTATAAAATATGATCATATTGCACAGCCCTACTCCCAGTCTTGCTCATCCTCAAGCTTTGTGCTTTTGTCTGTCAGGAGCTGCAGATGGATCAGCAAGCCAAGAAGCACCTGCAGGAGGAATTCGATGCTGCTCTAGAAGAAAAAGACCAGATGATCACTGTGTTGCAGACCCAAGTATGTGTTTGTTCACATGCATGTGAAAAAGTGTAACAGTATTTATTGTTGGTAGTGATTCTGATGGTTTTCGTCGCAGGTGGCTCTTATGAAGAAACGGCTGCATGGTGTTCCTGGAGCTTTGGTCTCCACTGAGGGAGAAGCCCAGCCCACTGATGCTACAGAGGTGACCTCTGACCCACAAAGTCCTGCTCAAGGGGACAGCGCTGAACTGAATGAAGGTACAAACTCACTTTCTGCTAGTCCAGTAGTTCTAAACGCTGGTCCTGGAGTGTCAACTACACACTTGAAAAAGATGGTTCAATGCAACCCCATTTCCAAAAAAGTTGTGACGCTGTGCAAAATGTAAATAAAAACAAAATTCAATGATGTGCAAATAATTTAAACCCTATATTTCATTGAAAATATTATAAAGACAACAAATCAAATGTTGAAACTGAGAAATTTTATTGTTATTTGAAAAATATATAATGCCCCCTATACCATCATGAATACTGGCTTTTGAACTGTACACTGATAACAGGCCGAGTGGTCTTTAGCTCAGAGGACACAGTGTCCATGATTTCCAAAAAGAATTTCAAATGTTGATTCGTCAGACCACAGGACACTTTTCCACTTCACCTCAGTCCATTTTAAATGAGCTCAGGCCCAGAGAAGGTGGCAGCATTTCTGGATCCTGTTTATATTTGGTTTCTTCTTTGTGTTTTAGAGTTTTAACTTGCATTTGTGGATGCAGTGATGAACTGTTTTCACAGACAGTGGTTTTCAGAAGTGTTTCTGAGCCCATGCAGTGATTTCCACTACAGAATCATGTCTGTTTTTAATGCAGTGCTGTCTGAGGGCCCAAAGATCACAGCCAGCAAATACTGGTTTTTGGCCTTGTCCCTTACATACAGAGATTTCTCCAGATTCTCTGAATCTTTTAATGATATTATGTACCGTAGATGATGAAAAGCAGAAGTTCTTTGTTGTTTTATGTTGAGAAACGTTATTCCTGAATTGTTGCTCTATTTGATGGTGCAGTCTTTCACAGAGTGGTGAACCCCTCCTCATCTTTACTTCTGAAAGACTCCGCCTCTCTGAGATGCTCTTTTATACCCATCATGTTACTGACCTGTTGCCAATCAACCACCAGGTGTTTTTTTTTTAGCATTACACAACTTTACCAGCCTTTTGTTGCCCCGTCCCAACTTTTTTAGAATGTGTTGTTGGCATCAAATTCAAAATGGGCAAATATTTTTCAAAAAACAATAAAATTTCTGAGTTTCAACATCTGATATGTTGTCTTTGTACTGTTTTCAATGAAATATAGGATTTAAATGATTTGCACATCATTGCATTTTATTTTTATTTACATTTTTCACAGCGTTTTGGAAATGGGGTTGTAGATCCATGAACACTCAAAGAACCCTTTGCATGATTAAAGTTTTTTTTTTTGTGTTGTTAAATGGTTTTTCAGACTAATGGAGAATGTGTTGCATATGGTTATTGGTTATGGTACATTGAACCTTTTTGAAAATGGTTCTATATAGCACCAAAAAGGGTTCTGCTATTGTTGCAATGTCAAGCTTGTAAACAGTAGAAGAACCCTTTTGAAAATGGTTCTATAAAGCACCAAAAAGGATTCTTCTATTGTAACAAGCTTGACATCATAATAATAATAATAGAATGCTCCTTTTTGGTGCTTAAAATAACCGTTTTCAAAAAGGTTCTAGATAGAATCATATAAAACACAATCTCCATCAATCGGCTGATGTGTGGTGCGTTTGTTTGCAGCAGGGGGCAGCGGTGAGCCAAGCGGCGCTGCGGATGTGGAAGCGCTGCAGAAGCGGGTGCTGAGGCAGGAGACGCTGCTTCAGCGCTGCAAAGAGCTGATCCGCACCAGCAAAGAGCGCAGCGCCCAGCTCAGCAGCGAGAACGAGGCACTACAGCAGCAGCTGCAGGAGAGACTGCAGGAGCTGGAGAAGATGAAGGTACACGTCTGCTCTCAGTGGCAGAACCCTGAGATCATTATTACAAATGTTTATGGAAAACAACAAAATACATGTTTAACAACTCATTCAGCCCTGAGAGCCAGACCCCCACCCAGAGGAAAGTAGAGTAAATAAAAACAAGAGAATAAATAAACAAGTACAAACACGTAAAAATATAAGAAATTCAGTCGTCTGTTGATTTTCTAAGTTTAAGTAAGTCACACATCCTCTACAGAGAACACACTTCTGCACGTTTTAATGCACAATTACTGTTTATTGGCTGTTTATTGCTGTTAACATCAGCTGGGACAGATTTTTGTAAAGTATTTTTAATGTTTTATAAGGTGTTTTTAACATCAGCTTGGACAGACTTTTAGAAAAGTCTTCTTTTTAGTAAAAAAAGAAATAAATTAAATAAATTAGATAAATAAATTACTATAAAAATAGTTTAATGATTAATAAAAATTCAACAGGGTAACTGGAGTCTATGGAACAGTAATAGCAGTTTAGAGAAGACTGGAGTGATGGGAAAAGAATAAATGAAAGGAAAAAGTACATAACAATTATGGATGGGTAAAAATGGAGCAATGATTTTGTTTATACAAAAAATAAAAGAGAAAGTGAGAGTTGGTGTAACACATGACTGCTGTCAGAACAAAATTTTGTATTTTCATTTTTGTACTTTTTCGGTTTTTGACATAAATTGGTGTAAATTTCATGATGAATGGACCAAAAGAAACGGCCCACAATTACTTGGAAAATAGTCTGGTTCCATTGACTTAAATTAAAAGTGAAGTATGTTACCATTTTGAAGATTTGAGGTTTCGACGGCAGCGATATTCAGCTGTTTACTCACTGTGTGATGTCGGTCACTTTTCTGCTGAATGTGCTTAACTAAAATGTTGATCCTAGTCACGGGCATGCGAGAAGGTTAACCGCTGGTTCCCGTCAGAGTCCTGTTTTGGTCACTGAGGCGTCGCCTCAAGAGCCACCAGTAGCCCACCAGGCTGTAATTTAGGTCTGAGTGTTGAGTCCTCTGGTCTCGAAAGCCTGAAGGAGTGAGGCAGCCTACAATTTCTGAAAGTGTGTTTACTTTTAGACCCACAGGGGCAGCGCAGGGGGGGTTAGTAAGCACTGACGTAGGCTGGATGTTCGCTTTTAACATCTTAACAGGTTTCTGAAACGGAGAGCTGCACAAACTTAACGTCAGTCTGTCACAGAATTTCTTCTCTTGTTGTTGTGAGGCACTCAGACTAGACCACAAGGCAAAGAGAGAGAATAACACACAGTACAAGTTTGGGCTACGAATAAGAACTCAAACTCCCAGAATTCCTCAGATCACATGACACACACAGAGCTGAACTCACTGGACCTGTTAGGGCTTTTATGCCGAACTGGCAGCTGAGCTGAAACTGTAAAGACAGTGACCTGATCTGGATCAACATGATAATCATGATATCGGCTCTAATCTGCTGTGTTTTACTCTCAGTTCCTCTGTCTCTGCTCTGCTGTTCAGGGACGTCTCTTCACCTGTCTCTCCACTCTTCCAGCTCTCTGATTGGCTGTTTGAATCACTCGTTGAGTAGATCTCTGAGTGTTTCTCACTGCAGGACTCGTGAACGTTTTAAGTCATAAATATCAAACATGTTTGATGATATCGGAGGGTCTCAGATCACTTCAGAGTTCGATCGGAGGGCTAAGGATTCACTTGTTTCTCCTCTCACACTAACAGATCATTCATGCCGTCGGCCACTTCCGATCAAGCCTCCGACCTGGAAAATCGCTTCAGATTGTGAACATTTGTAAGGGGCATACTGGGGTTAATGTATTGCCAGAAATCGTGTAGTGTAGGCCCAGCTTTAGTCGGGTGTTCAGTATATTCACCGCAATTCGTCACTGTACCTTCATTAGTTTTCTACTTATTCACTATTACTTTACTCTTATTGTTTTGTTGTGTTATTGTTTTGCTGTCCGGTGTCGACAGGAGGAGCATGAATTCCTCTCTCGAGGTTTCTTCTCTCTCTCTCTGAGGGGGTTCTCTTTGCCACTTTTGCCCTCAGTTTGCTCACTTGGAGCTCAGATATAGATTTCTGGTAATAAGTGCTGGATGAATAAATATGAATTGGATTTTCAATTAATAAACAAGTTAGTTCCAGAAATCACGTGTTATTAGTACCTCTGTTAGCGTTTGTTTGGATTTCTGGAACAGTTTTGAATTTTGATTTAATATTTTATATTTTGGTCCTTCTAAAAGCTTTTGGTCCAAACTTGAGAATATTATTTTTTTTTTTTATTTTTAAAACCTGTTCCCCTTCTTTTATTCTTTTTCTTTTCTTTTTTTCATTATTGTCATTAAATTTACAGTTCATTCATAGTAATGTGAGATATTAAAGGTCCAGGTGAAGTGTACCCTAGCCACACCCCCCCCCCACCCCACCCCAGCAAGCCCCCCAAATCCCACCCATGTCTATATTCACCTCCAAACCCCACCCAAAACCTTATCCACCCAAGATAAGAAATGATGAGTGGAGAACAGAAGGAAAAAAAGGAATGATGATAATGATAATAATAATAATAATAATAATAATAATAATAATAATAGACAGGACAGATTGGACAGAAAGACAGCAGACAGAACCACAGTATACATGCATTTATATGTTATATGCACTCTCAAAAAAGATGCTTCTTCAGTGATTCTTTAGTAAAGAAAATGGTTCTATACAAAATAATCATGAACACTCAAAAAATGCTTTGTATGACTAAAGGGTTCTTTGCATCATGAAAGGGTTCTTCAGATTGATGGGGAATGTGCTGTATATGGTTCTATATAGCACCTTTTTGCAAAGGGTTCTACATAGCACCCACAAGGGTCTTCTATTGATACAAGCTTGACATCATAACAGTAGAACCCTTTTTAAGAAGGTTCTGTATAGAACTATATACAGCACATTCTCCATCAGTCTGAAGAACACTTTCATGATGCAAAGAACCCTTTAATCATACATAGCGGTACTATATATAACCATGGAAGAGCCAGCTATTTTAAGAGTGGGGGTTTTATGGGATATTAGATGTCATTTAAGTTTGAGAGGTTTGCTGTGCTTACCGCGACCCAGAAGGATAAGCGGATTAGATGATGTATGTATGTATGTATGTATGCATGCATGCATGTATGTATGTATGCTGTATGTGGGATTTGTTCATTAATTCATTAATATTAGTGGTAAGGTACTGTATGACTGTAGGTACTGTAGCCGGTCTAGCATTTGAAATGTCTTTGTGCTCTCAGAGGAACCTGAACGGCTCTTGACACTCAGCAGAATGTCTTTTCTCAGTCAGCGTCCTGGAATTTAGACAGTCCTGTTTAAGCCAGGACTCTGAGCTGATGTAGCTGAAATATCTACAGCCAGGGAACACAAGGTTTCTTGAAATAACTGACGATTATCATCTTTTCCCACTCTTTATTTACCAGGATCTTCACACTACGGAGAAGACCAAGCTGATCACACAGCTGCGCGATGCCAAGAACCTCATCGAGCAGCTGGAGCAGGACAAGGTGAGAGAAACATGCTGGTGATTTCGGCAGGAGAGAGGCCTCGTACGGCTCCTCCTGTGGGTTCAGCTGTGGATGTGTCTGGCCTACAGCTGTGGTTCAACCAGCAGAGATTCCGCAGCTTCTCTAAATGAAAAAAAAAGAAAAGGAATGATTTATTATTTTAGAATGAACGACTGTGCTGGTAACAGGGTCCTCATATTCAGGAAACCGTGTAGGAAATAACCGCAGTAAATGGTTAAACCGCGCTGTGTTGGCATTTATTAAAAAAAAAAAAGAAGAAAAAATAATAGCAACACTTATTCCAGCATTAACAACCAAGTTTATTAATATTGTCAGTTTATTATTTTTTTATTTACTTCTCCGCTTACATTCGCCTTAAGGAACCTACATGCAGTCAAACGAGGTCAAACATGGACATGAATTTACATGAATATGTTTAAACGTCTTTACAAATTTAATGTAAACAGTTATGCTTTCAATAGGAAAATGCTATTGTAATAATATTAATAACATTTAAAGATAATTAACAAATAGTGTATTTCAGGGGTTGGGCTACTAACTCCACCCACTCAGAATGTTTCTGTACCATCACGAGTTACAACATTAATAAGAATAAAAAGATCAGTGAGCCTGTTCCAGAAGCAGCCATGCAAGCCCAAGCCACGACACTACCTCCACCATGCTTGACCGATGAGATTGTATGTTCTGAATCACAAGCAGATCCTTTCTTTCTCCACGGTTCTTCTTCCCTCACTTTGGTGGAGTCATCAGTCCATAAAGCTCCAGAAATCTCTGTATTTCTTTGTAAATTCCAATCTGGCCTTTTGATGGTTAGTGCTGGCGAGTGGTTAGAGTCTTGTGGTGGGGCCTTTATGTTTGTATGTGATACCTTCACCCTGCTCTGTGGAAGATGTTGGTGATGTCTGTTGTTTTTTGGCTGTTCTTCACACCTCTCGCAATGTTTCTGTCATCAACTGCTGTTGTTTTCTTTGGACATGTTCAGTGTCTGGTTGTTAGTACCCCAGAGGCCTGGGATAGGGGTAGTGGGGGTGCTGAGGGGGCTGCAGCACCACCAGATTTCAGGACTGCAACTGCTAAAAAATATATATAATATTAATTAGAAGAAGAAGAAAGTCTTTTACTTTATAATAATTTGAACGTAGTAAAGAATCGTGTGTGCTTGTTTTAGAATAGAGTATATATTTTAACATTCTGTTTATATATTTTAAAACCGTAACCTGTATTTTCAGTACAGAAAGATTAACTGCTTACGGTGATCTAAGTTTTTATCAATCGCTGTATCTCTCACTCGGTGTGCGCTCCAGTGTTGAATCTCACCGCGTGACTGTAGAGGTGACATATGTGACGCGTCACATATCGACAATCAGATCACCGGTCAGTTCATTTGCATAGCGTTCGTCCAGAAGAAGAGAGCAGAAAGATATGAATCAGCGATCTGATGTGTCGATTTTGTGTGTATATTTTCATCTTTTGTTGTAGCATGTTTGATGTAAATTCTAAATAGAAAAAAATTGAATGGCAAATAAAATTTGCTGTCATTCTTAAAGCCAAGTAGGGTATGTTTACATTACCAGACTGAAGTGGCACAAATCAGATTTTTTGCCCTAATGTGACTCAGATCTGATGTTTTTCAGAGCTGGTTGGACACACAAATCTGATCTTTTCAAATACAACCTTAGCCACTTTCATATGTGGTCCTAGATCGGATACGTATCCGATTTGTGGCCATGCGACCTTAATGTGACGCTCAGATTTTTCCACTGTGCATGCGCCACCATTCAGCGTTACCATGGCAACAGCGCCAAACAAAGTTAAAGCCTGTAAACGGTGGAAAAGCAGCTCATCTCACCTTTTTCTCCTTCGTCTCGCTCTAATAATGAAGCTGAGAGCTGATCAGAGTTAATGATCTTCACAGCGAAGCTCGTTCTGCTCGTTAGTTTGTGCTGATGATGATCGTGATTCATTCACGTGACGTTACTGAGTAGGATGAGCTCATGAGGGTCATTTCAGGACGCCGGTTCGTCACATTAATGACATTAATGAGATTTGAGTCACTTACCTAAACGAGTGTGAAGAGTGTCAGAGAGATCGGATTTGAGCAATGAGGCTTCTAATGTAAACGTGGCAGTAGATGCGGCTTAAAATTTCAGCATCCCCAACTTAAAACACTTTCCTGCGTCCCTGCCAGTCGCTTCTTTCTTTTTCAGGACATTCCAGTTTGGAATGTTTGGTTCCCAAACACTGATCCGTGGCCCTGTGTTTGGGAACCACTGCTATTAAACATAATATTGACGTTTCACTCAGTTGTTAGCCTGTATATTTTCCCTGTGTTCTCGTGTGAAATGTAATAAATACACAAAGAGTGATTTTAGTATTGGAATTCTGACACCTCAGTCGGCTGACCGAGAACTGAAGTATCCATAGCCTCCCTAATATTTGTTTATAAGAAATTCCATTCAGTGTAGCGCGGCTCCCAGCGTACCTGTAGAACCTCACGAACGTCAGCAGAGCGGCTGCCTCTGAAATACGAAGAGTTTTCTTTTAGCTACTGAGCTGCAGACGGGGTTCCTCTGTTGTTCTTAGCCTTCAACCTCTTCTCCGCAGGACAGGAATGATTGCCGTGAGGTCGCTGTATGGAATGTGAAAGTGCACAGAAACATGTCAGAAACTATTAGAACACTAAACTGTGATCTCTCACTGACTCCAGAGAGAACAGGATGAACAGGAAGCAGTGTGTAGTGCTGTCAAACACGTTTTCAGCATTAATGAGCAGCGTTTCCTGCAGTCAGTAGTGCAGTTTGTTCATCCACGAAAGGAGATCAGTACCTCGGTCTTAAAAAAGGAATCAAATATGTTGTTGCTAAGAAAACCCTGCATATCCAAATCGGTAATTTGCATGACGAAAAAAACCTTTTTTTCTTTAATTACATTCATTTACTACATCTTAATCTAATGAGATGCTGTTTTAGATTATTTGGTTTTGGAATTGGTGATTCTTTCTTGAAAGATGCTGAAATGATTCTTAACTGTGTTGAATCCCCAAACACAGCACAGCAGCAGCTCATGGTCATTATTTAGCCAACCCACAGTTTCAGTGTTTCATTTTTAAGTGCTAATCAGCACTAAGACAACACTACTGCAGTGTGCAAAGAGCCACATTTCGAGAGTGAAGTTTCATTTTCACTTTTTCAGATTAATTTCTTTCCAGTCAATTTCGAATGGTGCACTGAAAAGGTTAATATGTGTAATGTTTTGTTGTTGGCAACCAAAACCAAGAGGTTTTTATTTTCGTTTGAAATTGATGATGAATGTGTTGATTTCCATGGACTTTAAGGACTATGAGAGCTAAACGACCGTCTACAATTTACATTACAATTAGTGCCCATCGGGGTCCAAGCACCACGTACCATTATGGAGCCTATAGATTGTTTTTAGAGTGGCCTCTATTTAGAACATTTGTGAAGTCTCAAAAGTAGATGTCTGCCAAATTTCATGCATGTTGATGTTTTGAACAAATTTTTAAGAAATGGAAATATATAGAAAGCAGTATGGTATTTGGGCGTGACTTGTAAGTGCATAGAACTGAATGAACTAGATAATTCTATGGCAGTTACTCCTGTATTTTAGTCTGAGTTCACCAGCAGGCTGTTGCACCAACAGGGCTTACGCTTGATCGGTTCTAACTTTCTGGGCGTAGCTTTAAAACTGTTGCACCACCTGGCCATGAGCTCAATTTCCAACAAAACCCACTGCAACTTTTACAGTCAAATTCTAGACTTTTATAGGCATTCTACACTCTTAATAAAGATGGTGCTTGAAAAAATAAGTGGAAACATCTTACATGTGGTGAATATATCTAATACAGTTCAATATTTAAATTATTTTTAGAATTTTCATCCTGTTTTAAGTGATCTTGTCTTATGAAAGTGTCTTATTCCATTGGCTGATAAGTTTTACTTGTTTTAAGCATTATATTATAAGTGGTAAAATGATCTGCCAGTGGATAAGACACTTTCACTTGATAAAAGTACTTAAAAAATATTATTAGATATAGTAAAAAAATATTAGATATAGTGACTACATTTAAAACGTTTTCATACATTTTCATACGTTTCGTATTATTTTTTGCAGTGCACTTTTCTTAATCTGTGTTATTTTTCCTAAATCCACCAGGGGACGCTCAGCAGAAATTATTTTTTACGAGGCTGAAGTCAACTTCTCATTGGCCAGCTTCTTGAATTTTTTAGTTCCACGTTAAAAAGAATGTAACTGCGGCACCATTTAAGGTGGAACAGTTTCTCACTGCAGATTAAACGTATCAGGAAACCAGCTGGAGTGATTATAAACACAAATCAGTCCATTCATCTCCAAATTATTGATGTTCATCTTAAATCTCTCTCTTTGCCGTTTCGTTAGCTACTAGCTAGGCGAGACTGTTGTCTGTGTTGCTATGGTGACCAGCAGTCTGTGCTGATCTTCAGGGTTAAAGGGTGAATTAGCAGTTCTACATTAACTCCAGAGTTTAAGACCATTTATTGTTAAACTGTGTTGAACGATCAGCAGAGCTTTATTTTACTGTAAAGGAGGATTATTTTATTTTTACCTACAAATCTGATTCAGCTGTGGAGCCAAAACAGGGCAGTAAAAGAGCCACATGTTGTCGACCCCTGGCTTAGGCCTAACTTTGGTTGGTGGAGTGGACGTAAAGTCCTCTCAAAAAAAAAAGCCTTATCTATGACCTGCTTAGCAGTCAAGACCATCTTAGTTGATACTTGTTGGTGCAACTTGCCCCAAATTTTTGCGTGAAAAATTACTGAATTTTTCTCTGAGGAACGATGCTGCCAGACCCACTAGAGAGAACTGCCTTTCGAACTTGTCACCTTTGTTAATGAGTAGTACCTCATGATATTATCAAATCATAATTGAGATCAACATCATTTTATAATCACTACTTGGCACCCTAGTTGAATTGTGAGCAGCCTGGAGATTCCCATACCTATTCAATGATTTCTAAAGACTCATTCCAGCTCAATTAAACATAATTATCCTCGCCACTCTTTCATAATCGCCCCGTGTCTGTCTGGTCTTGCAGGGAATGGTGATTGCTGAGACGAAGCGGCAGATGCATGAGACTTTGGAAATGAAAGAGGAAGAGATTGCTCAGCTGCGCTCCAGGATCCAGCAGGCTGTGGCCCAGAAGGAGGAGCTGCAGGAGCAGAAGGAGAAAGCAGAGAAAGCAGGTGAGCCTTGTTGGTGTTGGGCATTTTGTATTTGCTTTCGGCGCGTGTTGACCGTAATGGCTGAAAGTGAATGATCTCTGTAGCGTTTGAGGAGCTGGAGCGAGCTCTCGGGGTGGCCCAGCGGGCAGAGGAGGCGCGGCGCCAGCTGCAGGCTCAAATGGAGGAGCAGGTGAAGCAGGTGGAGCGGGCAAGTGAGGAGGAGAGGAGGAGTCTGCAGCAGGAGCTCAGCAGGGTCAAACAGGAGGTGGTCACCATCATGAAGGTTAGTTATTAGTGAATGAAGGATAGATGGAGATGGAGAATTTAAAAATAAATTCTTTCTAAAACTCAGTTTTGTTCTATTCAGTGTGTGAGATGTAATCAGAGAGATTCAGAGTGGTTTGGTGTGAAATGGTTCAGATGTCTTTACAGTGGTGGTGATAGGAACCAGGGGTCGCCATGACTACAACACAAATATAGACATTTTATTTACTATCCAGAACCACCAGTGAACCTACACGAGTCTTCTGAGTTTATATGGAATGTTGATGATGGAAAATAGTGGAAAATCTGAAATAATAAGTTTTCTTTGGGGACTATTTTGCCTCTCAGGGCCTTGCATATTGCGTATCCCTCCACCATGAATGGATTTTAAAGCCAAAATTGGATGTAATTAGGCTCAAAACTATCATAAAACAGTGTCTCAGATGTCTTTTCAGTGGTGGTGATAGGAACCAGGAGTCGCCATGACTACAACACAGATATAGACATCTTTATAATTACGCTGCCGGATGTCAAAGATATTGTTTTATCACAGTTCTAAGAACATGTTGGTTCTAAAATGTATTTTTAAAAATGTGTTCATCGTGGAGGGATACATGCAAGGCAAAATAGTCCCCAAAAAAAAAAAAATTATTATTTCAGATTTTCCACTATTTTCCATCATCAACATTCCATATAAACTCAGAAGACTCGTGTAGGTTCACTGGTGGTTCTGGATAGTAAATAAAATGTCTATATTTGTGTTGTAGTCATGTAGTCGTGACCTCTGGTTCCTATCAGCACCACTGTAAAGACATCTGAACCATTTCACACCAAACCACTCTGTTTACATCTCAACCAACGTATGTGAGTTATGTTGAAAATTTGCAAAAATTGGTGGAATTTCCCTTTAAGCTGTTTATTTTCTGAAATCTAGAAAAGGCAGTATTTAAAATTTCAGTATATTTCAATATTTGGCAAAGAAACTAGGGGGAGAGCTTGAGTTTGCTTTCTGTTCCCATTTAATAGCGCTACTGCATACAGTTATTTCTTGTGTTCGGTATTTCGATTCCAAAGGATGGTCTTGATATATCATTGCCACTTTTGGAAGAGCAGATTCTGTCACCCTGTTTGATCCCCGAAGAAAGAAATGACACCACAAATGACTTGTTAATCCAGAAGCTTGAAGCTGAGAACCGTGTTCCTCCCCGTATTTCACGACATGTTTTGTTTAAGGACAAAGCTTGGAAAACCATCAATCTACTCACAACCTATACTAATCGATAGATGAAGATTTTACCTTGTATTACTGGGCAGTTGGTGTTTTTATGAATCACCACTCCTCTTAATTCTTTCTCCAGGCACTGGAGTGTGAATTTTTAATGCCATAGCCATCATAAATCATAACTGACCGAACAGGCGCGTTTGTTGGCCGGTCTTCTCTGCTTAAATCTGAATTTGTAATTCAGTTCTAACAGTGGAGGCTGGTTCTGTTTCCTTCATCAGGTCCTCTGAATCCTCAACATAACAAAACTGCGTTTTTCCCAGATGTGTAAATGGTGACCTGCTGCTCACCTCAACTGTAACTCAAAAAGGAGTGACACATTTTCTTTACGCCAACACTAACCGTGTCAGCTAATGATTTATCAAGACCATACTTTAGAATCTTAATACAGAGCACAAGCATTGACTGTATACAGTAGGGCTGTTAACTGGGAACAGAAAGCAAGTTCGAGCTTTCCCTCCTTGATTGTTTATTAAATATTTAAATATATTCACATTTTAAATACTTCATTTTTCAGTTTTCAGAAAATAAGTGCATAACTGCAGTAAACACACTGCAAAAATATATCAGAAAAATAAGTGGAAACATCTTACATGAAGTCAATATATCACACATTTTCAGACATTTTTACCCTGTTTTAAGTAATCTTATAATCAATTTCATACACGTTGACTTTTTGACCTTGGTATAGCAACACATTTTTAAGAAATGGAAATATCTAGAAAGCAGTATGGTATTTTGGGTAAGTGCACTTGTAAGTGCATAGAACTGAATGAACTAGACAATTCTATGGCAGTTACTCCTGTATTTTAGTCTGAGTTCACCAGCAGGCTGCTGCACCAACAGGGCTTACGCCTGGTCGGTTCTAACTTTCTGGGTGTAGCTTTAAAACTGTTGCACCACCTGGCCATGAGCTGAATTTCCACCAAAAGCCACTACAACTTTTACACCTAGCTAGGAGCTGAAAGTCAAATTCTAGACCTTTCTAGACATTCTGCACTCTTAATAAAGATGGTGCTTGAAAAAATAAGTGGAAACATCTTACATGTGGTGAATATATCTAATACATTTCATTATTTAAATTATTGTTAGACATTTTCATCCTGTTTTAAGTGATCTTGTCTTATGAAATTGTCTTATTCCATTGGCTGATTATTTTACTTGTTTTTATTTCACAAAAGAAGTAAAACGCTTTCACTACATAAAAATACATAAAACAATTAAAATGTCTACAAACAGGTTAAATAGTCATATATTCTTACAACAGTCTCATAATGAGAAACATCAGATATATTGATTACATTTAAGGCGTTTTCTCTTGCTAAGACATTTTTTGCAGTGCAGATTTCTAAATCAGTGGTATTTCTTTTAAATCCACCAGAGGGCGCTCGGCAGAAATTATCAAGCATTCTTAAAAACCTATGTTTAAACCAGTGATTCAACCTCATGATATGGTTAAAAAAAATTACAGAGGTCAATTCTAACATATCTTTGAGAATTACTTCTTTTATTAAATCCACATGCTGGTGATATCGCACAGTCATTGGAAGCTAAAGGGAGCAGCTGAGCTGCATATCTCACTTCACTACTTTATAAATATTACTAGATTATTAGCTTACTGTGCTGTAAAGCGTATTGGCCTTAAACAGGAGCCCTAGCTGAGGTAGACTTACATGGGATATTAAAAATTCCTCCATAGTTCAGTGTGTGAGATGTAAACAGAGTCATTCAGAGTGGTTTGGTGTGAAATGGTTCAGATGTCTTTACAGTGGTGGTGATAGGAACCAGGGGTCGCCATGACTACAACACAAATGTAGACATTTTATTTACCATCCAGAACCACCAGTGAACCTACACGAGTCTTCTGAGTTTATATGGAATGTTGATGATGGAAAATAGTGGAAAATCTGAAATAATAAGTTTTCTTTGGGGACTATTTTGCCTCACAGCACCCTGCATGTATCCCTCCACTGTGAATGGAGTTTAAGTTCTCTAAACTATCATAAAACAGTGTCTCAGTCATCAGGCAGTGAATTCATAACCATTTCATGTAGTAACTTTCTGTGAGGGAGCTTTTAGAGGTGGACGTCTGGTTCCTATCACCACCACTGTGAACAGTTCTGACTCTGTAAGTTTCTCTAGAACAGAGCGTTTCACACCAAACCACTCTGAACCGCTCTGAACCACTCTGTTTACATCTTAACCATTTAATTATGCAGAAATTTTGAAAAATCTGGTGGAATTGCCCTTCAAATGGATGTTGTTGACATTAGAACGGGCATTGTTTCTTTGGATTCAACAAATATTCGATATTTAATAGGCCCGGCCTAGTATCCAGACATGCCATTCAACTCTAAAGCAGTAGGATTTGTGACACTTTTTAAAAATAAATAAATGAGGGGGGTTAAAAAGTCTTTTATCTTGTTTTTTCTTTTCAGAAATCTACAGAAGACAGGATATCCGAAATGGAGCGTCTGCATTCGGAGGCTCTGGCTGATAAAGACAAAGAAATAAGTGCCCAGATAAACCAGGCAGTGGTACGTTCGTCCTGTTGTTTTAATCCTCTGATGACGTCACACTGACTAGGTTTATAGCCCATGAAATTGTAGATATGTATGAGAATGTGCTTTAACAGTTTGCCTTGTTTTGGTGTTGCTGTTCAGGAGCAGGTTCGAGAGGAGCTGTCACATACGGCTCAGGAGAAGGAGCAGCAGGCCTCTCTGGCTCTGGAGGAAGCAGAGCTGCAGAAGGCCGCCCTGCAGGCTGAGGCCGAGGCCAAAGCCAAGGACCTGCAGCTCGAGCTGGAGAGCGCCAGAACTGTGAGTTTATTTATTCTCGTCCTAACATGCCTTATCTGAGGACACCACAGTGAGGTGTGCTTTCATGGCCAAATCTAACCACTGCCCAGATAAAATACTCGGTCAACAGCAATTTGAATCCAATCCAAATGAGAGCTCAGCAGATTTCAGTATCTATAATGTTCACTCGCCTGAATAATTAAAATACGTATTTGTTTATGTTCACTGCCAAAATGTATCTTAGCAAGTGAAAACATCTTAAGTCTAGTTAATTGTAAATGTGATATTTCTTATTATGAGACTGCTGTACGAACATTATAAGATTATAAGATAAGATTATTATAAGTCTTATTTCATTGGCCGATTATTTAAAGCGTTATTTCTTAAAATCAGCAAAATTATCTTCATTATTTCTCAAACAAGTATAATGATCTACCAGTGAAATAAGACACTTTGTCTAGATAGCGTTCCTGTAAAAATATATAGAAACAAGTTAAATAATCTTATAATATCATAATAAGAAATGTTAGATATATTGACTACAGTTTAGATGTTTTTACTTGCTAAGATATCATTGTTCGCAGTGTTGGTGTTCCTGATTTTGTATTTTTTTACATGTTAACTTGTTTGGCTGTAGTTTTGACTGTTGAGCAACGTTCAGGTGAAGAGGCTGAGTCACTTGTTTAGCCGCCGCAGGGGCTAACGGGCTTAGGTGATTCCTGTAAGATATAAACAGAAAATAAAAACGTAAATCTACAAATTAAGTTTTAAGGGCCCGTATCATCATTTTAAGTTGTAATATGTTAACATTGGCCTACAGCAGTTTAGCCCCGCCCACTCACACTGAACTGGACTGATTTTTTTAAATATAGGACAGCCAATCAGAGAAGAGTTAAATTACAAATATTACAACGCAGCAATACAACAGTGACAAAAAGGCACAGTGACAAAAACAGCCTGTTTAATTGGTTGGAAATTGGTTGTGTAAAAATGAATATTTACTTATTAATTATTGCTGTTTTCAGCACACAGACCCACACAAACATCTTTTTAAATTTTAATTTAAATAGTCTTTGTGATCCCAGTGTATGAACGATGCTGTATGATTAAGCTCGCCTAGCAAACCCACACAGCACGTCTGTCACCTTATCTGACATCACAGCACATCTGTCTCCTTATCTGGCATCACAGCACGTCTGTCTCCTTATTTGGCATCACAGCACGTCTGTCACCTTATCTGACATAACATTATAGCACATCTGTCTCCTTATCTGACATCACAGCACATCTGTCTCCTTATCTGACATCACAGCACATCTGTCTCCTTATTTGGCATCACAGCACATCTGTCTCCTTTTCTGACATACTGATATAGCACATCTGTCTCCTTATCTGACATCACAGCACATCTGTCTCCTTATCTGGCATCACAGCACATCTGTCTCCTTATCTGGCATCACAGCACATCTGTCTCCTTATCTGGCATCACAGCACATCTGTCTCCTTTTCTGACATACTGATATAGCACATCTGTCTCCTTATCTGACATCACAGCACATCTGTCTCCTTATCTGACATAACATTACAGCACATCTGTCTCCTTGTCTGACATCATAAAAAGGGACGAATAAATGTGTAAAACTGCTTATGATTCTAAAACTAAAATGTTTTGATTTTTAAAACGATTTAACAAACTTAAAATCATGGTTAATTTTGAGATGTCAGTATTGATTTTAAGGGTAGTCTTAGGAAAGAGTATTCGAGTGCTCATCCAGAAACACCAACAAGTGTTCAAAGTCTGTACAATACTATTCAGGCCACCGTTAATGTTTACATTTTTCTGTTAATTTTTGTTTTTTAAATTGTAGAGAATTCTTGAGCTGGAGAGTTCTCTGGCCAAGAGCTCACAGGAGGAGGCTACCCACTCAGATCAGCTTTCGGCAGAGATTGAAGAACAGAGGAAGAAATATGAAGCTGAGCTATCTGCTCTAGAAGAGAGGCATCAGCAGGAGCTGGAAAGATGGAAGACCGAGCAGGCAGAGGCTTTGAACCAGCAGCACTCCACTGCGATTGAAGAACTAACGCAGAAACACAAAGCTGAGATTGAGACTCTCTTGAAAGAAAAAGAAGCAGAGTTTCATGCCCATGTTGAAGATATAAATCAGAAAACATTGGAGAAACTGGATGTTAAACAGACTGAGCTGGAAGCCTTGTCCTCTGAGCTGAGCGAACTGCAGAAGAGTAAACAGGAGCTGGAGGAAAAGCTTGCGGCCGTCGAGGCTGTTAAAAACTCTGCTCAGCAAGAGTTTGAGGTGAGACTGAAGGAAGAACAGTTGAAACATCAGACCGAGCTTGAAAGCATCAACCATCAACATGAGCAGACGCTTGGAGGAGTGGAAAACAGTCTGAAAGAAGATCTAAATCAACTAAAGTTGGCGCTGGAAGAGAAGGAGAAAGAGCTTGAAGATCATGTTCAAAAGGGAAAAAGTCTGGAAGAAGATGCCAGACAGGCTCGACAGGATGTTGAAGCACAGCTGAAGGGAATGGAAGATCTCCGGCATGCGGCACAGGGTGAAAAAGAGGCCCTTGCTGAGGCAAACAGTCATCTGAACTCATTAAAGGGGGAATTGGAACAGTCAAAGAATCAGCTGAACGAGCTGGAGAAGCTTCTTGAAGCCAGTCGCAGTGACTGTCACCAGAAAGCAGACTGTCTTCAACAGAAGACTATTGAAAATGAAGACCTTCAGCAAAGGGTACAGAAAGCCATCAGTGATCTGGCTAAAAAAGAGAAGTCACATGCTGAAACATGCAATGCAATGCAAGAGGAGCAAAGCCAGTTAAAGAAGCAGTTGGATGAGGAGAAAAGTTCCTACGAGAAAAGATTGGAGAGCCTACAAAAAGAAATGGATAGCAAGTTGAAATCCCAGGAGACCAAGATGGAAAAATTCAAACAGAAAACCAAAGAAATGCAAGAAAAGTTTAAGAAAAAGCTTCATGAGCAAGATGAAAGCGCCAAAGCAGAGCTAGCCAAGAAGGACGAAGAGCTTCGGCAGAAGGACCAACAGGTAAAAGACAAGATCCTTGAGATGGCCCAGACAAGCTCAGAAGGTCTCAGCAATGCTTTGTCTGATTTAGAGATGAATCACAAAGAGCAGTTAGAGAAGCTTCAAGGAGCCCACAAACATGAGCAAGAGGACCTTCTGCGCCATTGGCAGGAGAAGCTAAGCCAGCAGGAGGAAGAGTTGCAGGAGAAACATGCGCTCACTTTGCAAGAAAAAGTGCAAGATTTGGAGGAAATCTCGCAACAGCTTTCAGGCAGCAGAGAAGAGAAGAACAAGGTGGAGCTGGAGGTGAAGAACCTTAGGGAAGACCTTGCAATGAGGGAAACCACTGTACAGAAACTTCAAGCAGAGCTCAGGGAAGCTGCGGTCAAGCTGGAAAATCTGTCCGAGGGAGAAGACTTGCTGAAAAAGCAGGTAGAGACTGTAGAGAAGAATCTTAACCAGGCCTTGACTGAGAAGAACCTCTTTCAGGACCAGCTCAGTAAGGCTGAAGAGACCAGTAAAGAAAGATTACAAGCCTTGTCTGAAGAGCTAGAAGACACACGCATGAAGCTTAGTGTACTTGAAGCTTCCAGGAGTAAGGAAGGTGAGGACCTGCAGAGGACCCTTGAAGAGAAAGCCGCGGAGCTTCTGACGAAGGAGAAAGAGTTTCAGTCGCAAATCTGTGCTATGAGCAAGGAGCTGGAGCAGCAGTGTGAAGGTGTGCAGGCAATATTAAAGGGATTCTCAGACGATCTTTGCAATAAAGTGGAGGCCAAAGTCAGCGACCTCCAAAATAGGGTCATATATAATCAGAAGAAAGTGTCCCATCTTAAAAATGTCATCGTGGCCAAGAACGATAAAATTGGTACTTTAGAGAAAGAGCTTCAGCGAGCCATAGAGGAGAGCCAGAGCATGAAGAGCTCTCTTGACCAGATGGTTCTTCAGCTAAGCGCGAATTCAGAAACTCTTAAAGCCTTAACAGTTGAGAAGGAGTCTTTGCAAAAAGATGCTACCAATTACTCCCAAGTACTTTCTGAGAAAGTCGTTTGTATAGAAAAACTTGATGAAGAAAACAAAAACATATCAGAGAAACTTAAAGCAAATATTTTGCATATCAGTTACTTGGAGGGTATCGTAGATGACCTGAAGACCCAGTTAGCACGTAGCATAACTGAAAAGGAGGAAGCCATATCTCTGCTGAATCAGCAGCACAGTGAGGAGAAGCAGAGTCTCAAAAGCCAAATGGAGGAGACGGTGGAAAGGGTGGAGAAAGAAAAGAGCTTGGCTCTTGAGCAGGTCGACACTCTCAGGAACAAGATGTCGGAGCTGAAAAAGAAAGCGGAGTCCAAGTTCACTCAGAACCACAACACTGTCAAGTCTCTCCAAGGTAAGATAGAGGACATGGAGAGACAGATATCGGAGAAGGACGAGCACCTTCAGAGACTCACTGCCAGCATTGACAATCAGTCTATTAGTAAGTCAGAGATGGACCAGGTGCTGAGCGAGAAAGAGCAGAAGGTAAGTGCCTTGACCTTAGAGTTGGACAACTGCACGAGGAAAGTCGGCGAGTTAGAGGAACGTCTTGAATTACAGACAAAAGAACGGGAACAGCTAGCGGCCGAGTTGCAGCAGCATTGTAGCATCAGGGAGAGTGAGAAGACGGAGCTGATCCAGCAGCTCCAGCAAGCCCAGGAGCAGTGCTCTCAAAGAAGTGAGCTTGAGGCAAAGCTTCAGTCTTTGGAGAGCAAGATCCAAGATGCCAAGCAACAAATGGAGATCCAGCAAGGAGACTTTGAGAGGGAGAGGGCAGATTTACTGAAAGCAAAAGATGAGGCTTTGAAGGCGGCCGAGGAGAGCGCAGGGAAAGCCACCGAGCTGAAGAAGAAAGCCGAGCAAAAAATCGGCTTGATTCGGAAACAGCTGGCCTCTCAGGTTGAGGAGAAGGAGCAGGTCATCAAGGGTCTGCAGGCACAACTGGAGGATGTCAGGCAGAAGCAGAATGAGAGGGAACAGCAGATTGTGAGGTTGGAGGAGAATGGGAGGATCATGGAGGAGGCCATGAACAACCTCAAGGAAGAGCACTCAAAGCACCTGGAGCAAGTGCGACATGATGAAGAGTTACAGCGAGAGAGCTCGTCGCAAACTTTGAAGGACATGTATGAGGAGAAGTTGGCCGCTCTTCACAAAGACGCGTCTTCCAAAGAGGAGTTGGCCGCGGCAAGACAGGAGGAGGCCCTTTCGAAGCTCAGGGAGCTGGAGGAACAGAGTACTGTCCACCAAGCTGAGATCAGCAGGCTTGAAGCAGAACTTTCGGAACAGACCACACTGGTCCAGGAGCTTCAGAAGACCTGCTCAAATCTCCAGGTCCAGCTTAAGGAGAAAGAGGCCAGTGCCATACAAAGGGAAGAATGCTCTGTGGAGCAGACTAACAGTGTCTTAGCAATGGAGCCTGTGAGATCCGTTACGATAGAAGAAAGGGACGCAAACGGGAAAGAAGAGGACTGGAAGACTGAGAAGGATCTCTTGGTGAAAGAGTACGAGATGAAGCTTCAGGAACTTAGCAGAAGCCTGGAAGAAAAAGAGGACCAGCTTAAAGCCCAGCAGAGCTCACAAGGGGAACTCAGAGAGGCCAATGTTCTTACCGACGAGTCCAAAGGCTCGGAGAACGATCTAGAAAGAAAACTGATGGAAGCAGAGAACGAGAAGCAGAAGATCCAGAAAGATTACACCCGACTACAGAAAGACCTCCGCTCGTTGAGGAAGGAGCATGAAAAGGAGCTGGAATACCTGAGGAAAGAAGTGGCAGAGGAGAATGAACAGAAGCTGAAGTAAGAAGACTCGTGCTCACTTTGTTTCTTCCTGTTATCATTCCCGAAAAATGGTTCAGTTGACACTCGGATATTAAAGCATACAGTCGTGTGCAAACATTTGGTCAAATTACTTGTTTCGTTGATTTTCTAAATGAAAATAACACACCTTTTACAGAAAACACTCATTTTGTAGTGTTTAATTTCTGTGTATTTATTGAGTTTAACATATTGGAAAAAATAATATATATAATATAATATCGCTGCTGTTGGAAGAAAACCTTGTGTCTCCATTTTTGTCATTTTTCAGTTTTTGACATAATGTGAAAAAGCCTGTTGCTCTTTACATTGTTTGTAAATTTCATGATGAATGGACCGAAAGAAACGGCCCAAAATGACTCGGAAAAAAGTCTGGTTCCACTGACTTACATTAGAAGTAAAGTGTGTTTTTTTCCTTCTCCTGTAAAGTTACCATTTTGGAGATAAAAGGTTTTCTTCCGACAACAGTGATATGGATATAATATATATAATGTGGCCACATTGTGTGTTTTCCCAATATGTTGAATTCAGTAAATAAACAGCAGTTGTGCATTAAAATGTACCGAAGTGTGTAGAGAATGTACTTTCACTTAGAGAATTAACAAAACATATCATTTGACCAGCAGTTCTGTCTTTTACTAAATATTTGTATTACTGAGCTAAAACACTTATTATATATTATATTATATTATATTATATATTTTTTTATTTTTAACAGACTTGAAATGGAAGACATGGAAATGAAACACAACTCCGCTCTTAAGCAGTTGATGCGGGAGTTCAACACCCAGATGGCTCTGAAAGAGAAAGAACTTGAAGCTTCAGTAAAGGAAACCATTGGTAAGAGCAGAGTCTCATTTGCATGACAGATTAAACTTTATATTTCACATCCTGGATGTTTGAGTTGCGCCTGTTTTCTAGCTGGTTTGGAATGAATGAAAGTGGTTTAAATGGTCCGTGTTTGGGGAGAAATATTCCTCAGTTTATTTTTTTTAAATAAAAGACTTTGATGTACACTCTTAAGAAAGATGGTTCTTTAGTAAAGAAAATGCTTCTATATAAGTTTGAAGTTTATGTAATTTGCATGACGTGTCAGGACATTCATGCATTGAAATGCTTGTGGCAAGGCTCAGCTAATCACTCTACAGCAGGGCAGCATTGTATACATACAAAAAACAAAGAAAAACAAAGCAAAAAATACTAAATAAATTAAAATATAATAAATATACCGCAGCACTGCTGTGTCTGATCCACTCAGACCAGCACAACACACACTAACACACCACCACCACGTCAGTGTTACTGCAGTGCTGAGAATGATCCACCACCCAAATAGTACCTGCTCTGTGAGGGTCCATGGGGGTCCTGACCACTGAAGAACAGGGTAAAAGGGGGCTAACAAAGTATCAGAGAAACAGATGGACTACAGTCTGTAACTGTAGAACTACAAAGTGACCCTATATAGTAAGTGGAGCTGATAAAATGGACAATGAGCGTAGAAACAAGGAGGTGGTCAGAATGTTATGCCTGATCGGTGGATATGGGCTCTTTATGTCATTATGAACGTCCATATTTTCTCACAGGCTTTCACCTCCTATATTATGGAAGCTGTGTGAGCTTAATTGTGTCCTCTTTGATTCTTCTATGCAGAAAAAGCCCAAATTGTGGAAGCACATCTCATAGAAATCCATCGAGAGGAGGCCAGTCAGCTCCAGAAGGTAATCGCCCAAAAAGAAGATGATCTGAACAGAACTGTCCAGCGTTACGAGCAGGTCATTCAGGTGAGCTGAAAAGTATTCATTCTGACAACAGTACAAGTTTATTTTTATCATTTAGTCCAGTGTTAGTCACAGTTAATTGCACATTCACACTAAGTTTGTCTCTTGTGGGCAGAGCTGAATGTTTATATAGACCTAGAGTGCAGTTTGCAGTTTGTAAACTCTGCAGTTTTAATTAAAGTCTGTATTATTAACAAAACTTATTAAAGACCCTGTCTTAAGATTTAAGTGGGAAGATTTACCCTAATGAGAGTTAGTGAACTGTCTGTAGAGGAGTTAGACCAATCAGAACCAACCAAATACCCGTGCGCTGTGACATCACAACCCCAACTATGCTGTGCACTAAATCTGAAGCCTGTGATCAATTTGGCTGTAAAGAAACCGGAAAATGAATCGATAAGAAAAATTGACGATTGGTGCATCTGTACTATTTTCATTATTATTTCCTTGTAGTTTTATGTTTAGTATGTTTATTCAGAAACATCCATAAAATGGCAAATATAAAAACATCCTTTCAGTTTTGGATTTTGGTTTTTGGACAGGTGTGTCTCTCATTTCAGTTTCGGCCAGGAATTTTCATTTCTGTGCATCGGTAGCAGTTTATCACCCAAAGGAGTCGCATTATTAAGCAATAGTGCGTCTCTTTAGGTAACAAACTGCTTCCCGTTTTGAAGTTTGCCCAAAAAGAAAAGAAAAGGAGGGGTGTTTATTATGAAAAATAAGTCTGCCTTGCAGGCCTGAAATATTACATCCATTAACAGCATTTCTAAATGCTGCTGAAATGCTTTGGCACGTCTCGGCTGTCTTGAGGGGCCGTAATTTTAAGTGAACTCTGCAGAGACTCATCCTTGCACTAACATTGCTTTTCAGCACATAATTGGCGCATCATCAGGAAACCATTACACCACACGCCACCTCCTCTCGCTCCCCACGGTGCTGTGTTATGTGATTCATACCTGCAGGGTTTTAAATCCACACTTAACGTTCTGACAGATAACTATGCCGAGCATTCGGACTCGAGAACAGCGGATTTGTTTCCTTATTTACTGCATGAAAACGATTCCTGTATATGAAGGTCTAATGGAGCTGAGCGCTGTGCTTGCAGAGCCGAGAGGAGGAGATGGGCACTCGCGTGTGGGAGGTGCAGAAAGAGCTGGAGGAGTTGCAGCAGAGGAGCCTCAGCGGTCCTCAGGTATGCAGAAGAGGTTCCCACGACCGTTACCAGATGGAGCCGTTTACGTCCTCGTAAAATATACCGTTATGTTCTCTCATCCGAGGGCAACTAGAATTCTTATACAGCAGAAGTCTTGCTGAAGCGAAATGGCAGCTCTCCAAAAAAACAATGAGCTTCTTGTACAGATCAGTTTGAAAGATCCATAGGAGACGAGGTTTTAAATCCCTGTTCTCAATTAGCTCCTCAGAGAGCGCCGGGGCTGGTAGATTTATGTTGCGTGTGACTCTTGGGTGAGCACATTTGGAGGTGGAGAGCAGGAGGGAAGTTTTTCCCCCATGTGTTGCAGTTTCAGAGGCTTTTTTTCGCCCTCACTAAGTCGAGATTCAGCCTAGTTCCCATTCTGCATTTTTCTAGCCTGATGTCATCGCTTATATATACGTTTTTGAATACGTTAAGTCCCAGATGACCCACCATAAGGAAGGTTCTCTGCTTATTGTCTCCATTTGTGCACGTCCCGTTCCATACACTGTACTTGTACCTGGTCAAATTGCATAGTTTGTTGATTTTTTTAGGTGAAAGTAAGTTAATGCATCCTGCACAGGCAAGGCATGTTCATTTATATAGCGCCTTTCATACACTGCTGTCATTCAAAGTGCTTTACAGATCAGAAACTACAGAGTTGTTTAAAAAAACTAAAAAAAAAAAAGTAAAAACATGATGAAAACGATAGATTTAAAATAAAAAAATCATTGAATTGAAAAAAAAAATAGAGATTAAATTAGGATAGTTAAAAAAAAATCTAATTAAAAATAAAATAAATAAATAAAAAAAAACATTTTTCTGCTAATTTTGGTTACGTTATATATATTAACTTATATTTATTAACATTAAACATAAAATACAGAATGTGCTGCTTTTGTACACTTTTTCACAGGCCACATTTTATATTTTAGTTTGTAGAACATTTAGTCATTTTAATTTCTGTTTTTTACAGTGCTGTGCAAAAGTCAAAGACCCTTTTATATTTCCAGTCAAAACAGCCGTTATGTACATGTTATTCACTTTAATTCACTTTATCGTTTTTCAAGAGATATTTCTGAAGAGATGAAATATACAATAATTCGCTTGCACAAGTAAAGAGATAGTCAGAGTAAAATAAGAACAGTGGACTGACCACCCCAGAGTTTAAAAACTGAAACTGGAGAGAAAAGGTGTCTCCTAACAGCCACCTGGAAGACCTGGTTGACCCCAAAACTGCCCCCATCAGATAAACAGCACTTAAAGCTTTCATCTCTGAGAGAGAGGAGAAAATCAAGCTGCTTCAGATCTGAAAACATCCACAGGTGTTTCTGTCCATCCTTCCACTGTGAGAAGACGACTCAGCGCTGTGGGTCTGAAAGGATGTGTAGCTGATCAAGAAGAACCTCACTGAGAAAAGGAGACGGACACATCAAACAAAGAAGCTGAACGATGGACTGACCACCCCAGAGTCCAGACCTCAACACCACTGAATGCGTTTGATTACTTCAGAAAATGATCAACCAGCTTCTCAGACTGAACTTTGGAGGTGTGTCTGCAGATTCTTTGAGGAGCTGAAAGTGAGTCTCCTGTAAAGAATGGAAGCTGGAATAAAGGGAGAGAGTGAAGCTGAGATTAGATTTAGACTTTTGTGTAATTTTCTGTTAAACATGCATTTTTCTGCTTTTTGTTCTCAGTGCTGCAAAATGAACTTCAAGTGAACGATGGCTGTTTTGACTGGAAATTAAATAAATAAAGGGTGGTCTCTGACTTTTGCACAATACTGTTTATTGTATGTCATATTGTCAACATGCCAAAGGTTCATATGTTGTTTCCTCTTGTCTTTCAGGGTCTTGAAGAACTTCAGGTGAGATTCTTTGTTTTCTTTTTCTTTCTTATAAAAGTTGAATTTTGAACAGTTGTCACTAATCAGCCTGTTAGTTAGTGACCTCACCCATCTCACCTGCCTTGCTCAGGTCCAGCTTGCTGAGAAGACCACCCTGCTGAGTGAAGCCAGGCTGAAAGAGCAGGAGTACCAAAACAGGGTGAGTTACAGAGCGCCAGAGAGCTGGAACTCACTACAGGGAACCCTAAAGCTCAGCTCACTGGGTCACTCAGTCATTTTAAACTCTTACTCTCTAACCACCTCAACTCTGCCTCACACTGTTCTACCTGATTTTTTACCATTATTGTCTCATTTTCATTATTTTATTATTTATTTGTTTGTTTATTTATTATTATTCATATTCTTATTTTAATTATGATTATTTTATCATTATTTTAGTTATTTTAATTATTTTTAGTTTACTTTTTGATCTTATTCTCCTTTTATTTTGATTTGATTTGATTAACTTTTACATTTTAGCTACATTTTAATTATTGTGTTTAATCTTTTACTGTATTTTTATGTATTTTTATTTATAATGTTTTATTATATTTTATTTTATTTTATTTTATTTATTTATTTTTATACCTACCTCAGTCATTTTTTTTTATCCCTTGTTCTGTATCAACTCGGCAACATTGTAAGTGAGGGTCACCCTCAATGTTCTCCGAGATTAAATAGAGATTGATTGATTGTGGGCGGAGAAAGAGAGAGTGTCGAATCAGGAGTGTAGCGGTCATAGCCTGTGCCCTACTGTGTGTTCTCAGGGTTCCTTCGCCCCGCCGGCGGTACATTACGGGAAGTCCCTCTTGAGTTCCTTACTCAGCACATCTGCTTACACTTACTCGCTTTTACTGTGCATAATTAGGCCGTGTCACCTTTCTCATTTTTATTTATTTATTTATTTTACCTCACGGAGCATGCTCATGTGTGAACCTTGCACAGTGGCGGTGTCTTAAACAGGGGTCTCAAACTCAAATTACCTGGGGAGCCGTTAGCCAGAAAGTCTTCTTCTAGAACTTCTTCTAGAACTGCTGATGAAGTTCTTCCACACCAAACTCACCCAATCCTGCTTAATAAAGGTTTTCATCTAACATTTCACGTAATATTTTAAACTAAAATATGGGGAATAAAGTGCGCTGTATTTTTTTTCCAAGTTTTGATTTTAGCTACACAACATATACACGCATTTAGGTGCAGCTAAGTCAATAATACTATGATAATTAATATAGTTAGTAATAATAATAATTACTGTTATATTGCTGTTGTCAGAAAAACCTTGTATCTCCCTTTTTGTCGTTTTTCAGTTTCTGACATATTTGAAAATGCCTGTTTATCTTTACATTGTATGTAAATTTCATGATGAATGGACCAAAAGAAACGACCCAAAATGACTTGGAAAAAATTCTGGTTCCACTGACTTACATTAAAAGTAAAGCAGGTTTTTCCTTCTCCTGTAAAGTTACCATTTTGGAGATACAAGGTTTTCTCCCAACAGTAGCGATATGTAGTATTATTAGTAGTAGTATGTAAAATATATTGAACGATACAATTATGTAGGACTCTTATTGTGAAATCGTTGTTCCTGCTGAACGTGAGTAAAGTTTGAGTGTTTATATTAGAATCAGATTTAGAATCGAGCTTTATTGGCCGGGTTTGTTTACACATACAAGGAATTTGGTTTTGGTTACAGGAGCTCACAGTGCAGAGTACCAGACAGTGAAGAAAAACTAAATAAATAAAGTAAAATTAAGTAAAATAAGATTAAATATGCGTTCCTACCATCACTCACTCACACACACAGTCATACCTGTAACCCTTACATTGTGCAAAGTGTGTGTCTTAAGTTAAAGTGCTGAGTGCAGCAGCAGTTAAAGGGTGTATAGTGGCAAAGAAAGGGATCAGTGAGGTGACAAGTGGGGTGTTATATCTGTGTAATCTGTGGATTAGTTGCTTAATTGGCAGCGTAATCCTTAATTTCAGTTCAAATTTTGCACTCAAACATGCACGTTTGGGCTCACAATGAAAATTCAAATTCAGTAATTTCATTTTTATTTGCCATATGGTTATGCTACTGTTGATATTTCATTTACACTGAGCGTTGGATGCTCCATGAGTAGCTTCATTTAAATTAAAATGTATTTCTCAAACTAAATTAATATGTTTCAGGTGATTATGAATTATTTATAAAAATATGAAAATTTGCTGTTCAGATTATCAAAAATCTACCTGGATACAATCTGGATATGACAAACATCAGATTTGTGCTGGCAGTGTGAACACGGCCAGAAGAAATTCAGTGAGATCCGAAGACCTTGTTGCTGCTCGGTGCTTTACTGCTCACTCTAACAGACAGTTGTGGCTCTTTTTTTCCAGATTCATACTCTGGAGGACACGATAAAAAGTGCTTATAAAAACTCTGTGGTGACTCACCTGGGAAGCACATACAAAGGTAAATACCCCCCTACACACACCTACACACCTCTCAGGTCATTTACTGCTAAAAGCGCTGTACTGCAGGGCTTCATTACAGGACTGAGGTTTGGTCTTTATCTTCATCATGTGCCGTACATGACCGAGAGGTGCCTCCTGAGCCCAAACACAGCGGAGTCCTTCCCCACAGTCGAGCTGGATCGGACTCTGATACTCTGCTATCAGTCAGCTCAGTTACACACATGCACCACTGAACATCTCCAGAACATGGAGAACGAGTGCTGAGGGTTTTAGAGGTGGAGCAGAGGGGCTGGTCATGGCCTGAACATTAACCTCTTTATGGACTTTCCCTGCCAGTGTAATAAAGAGAATTTGCTGTTTGGGGGGGCTGGGGTCGGGGGCAGGGGGCTGGGGGGTTGGGGGGGTCGAAAGCTCATCTCTGGATCTAATGCTTTTCACAGACTCACTCCAGTTTCCCACACAAGATCTGGAGTGTCATTTCTTCCACAACAGCCTTAAATCTTAGTTTCCTCTCAGTGCTTATATGGGGGTCTTTAGGCGGTGCTGCAGGTGAATTTCCTAATGAAATGACTTTTTTCCTAATGAAATATTCCTCAGAATAGAGTGAGGGATGATATCATGAACGCAGATATTCTACAAACTAGAAATGAGAGATTTTTGGTTAGTAATGCAGAAAAAAAATAATTTGAGAAACAATTTTAGATCTCAAAATCGAAACAGCTAACACCATCTCCGAACACATTGCACTAGACTCTTTTCACATTTCCGCATTTTTTCTGCTGGACGTGCTTGTTGTACGGTAACACTGCTTCCGATAGAGCAATAACAATAACAGCAATGCGAGTAGAGCCTGTACAGCTCACTCATGTGTTCAAGACTGAAGCAAAAACAGCCACATCTCAGTTTCAGTGGTTTGTCAGCTGATGATGAGCAGAGGACAAACGAGTTTGTGCAGTTAATAAAGGAATAAACTTTGTCATACGGAGTTAAAGGAGCTCTGAGTCAGCATTTCACCACTACTGAGTTACATTAATGTGCAGTTCGTGCTTTGAAGTTGCTGCTACAGCCGCTTTCAGAATGTAACTGCTGCACCATTCAAGGTGGAACTGAAAAATTCGAGCAAGACGCTGGCGAACAAGAAGCGACTTCATCTTCTCGAATTTTAGTGTTTGGCGGTTTTTCGTTGCAGATTAAATGTGTCTGGAAACCTGCTGAGCACTTATAAATGCAAATAAGAAACCGTCTACAGTGGCGCTACCGTCCCCGACGACCCGGCACGCCACCTGCAGGGATGTGCACATGTTTAGCTTTTTGCTCAACAGGCCACACCTCTGTACATTTAAATGCACAAATAGTATTTATTTGCTAAATGTAACATATTGAGGGGAAAAAAACATAAACTGTGGCCTGTGCAAAAGTTATGGGACACATTGTTTTGTTTTGGTTTTTCAATATGTTAAACTCATCGAATAAATAGAGATTGTGCATTAAAAATGTGCAGAAGTGTGCTCCCTGTAGAGGATGTGTAAGTTATTATTATACTGTACTTTGTCTTAGTATAATTGCACTATTCATATTTGCACAGTCTATTACTGCAATATTCATATTTGCACCAACAATTACTGTACAAGTTTACTCTGCATATATTTACATATGCTCCTCCCACTGGGCATACTACCTCATAGGACATACTACCTCATATATATATCTGCACTTTATATGTAAATAATACTGTACTTCTGGTTAGATGCTAACTGCATTTCATTGGATCTGTGCCTGAACTCCGCACAATGACAATGAAGTTGAATCTAATCTAATCTAACTATCACTTAGAAAATCAGCAATAAATAATATGAATAGTGTTTGTTAACTTTTAAGAAAGTGTATTTCGTTGTTAGTGGACTATAGTGGAACATGTCATAGAACCTGTATTTCCAGTATAGACATGTGTGAACTGTATTGTAAGTGTAAGAGTGGACGAGGCCAAATGATCTGAAAATGTGAAAAAGAAAGATTGTCGTCCTCTCTGTCTGTTTGTCTCCTCAGTGTTTCCCCGGAGGGACGGTTTCCTCATAAACTTTGTGATTTAAGCGTGCTCCTAAATGGTCCTCCATTAACTTAAAGTGTCCCTTAACCCTTTTGATCTTCCCTTTGAGACCTACCGCTAAACAATCCGCCCTCCAGATTTCTCGGGTGTAATTATCCACCCTGCTCATCGCCTTCAGATCATGTCCTCACCACTTAAAACGACCACTTAGTTACGTTAATAACGAAGCTGGCCAGGAAACATTATGGAAATGAGTGTGTGCTAAGCACCGCCCACCAGCCCTCATAAACATCCGCTTAGTTACAGCAGCTTTGTTATTTGGTAACATCCACACTTTAAAGACCTGTCAGCTTAAAAAATACCAACTTATACATTAATTTAAAAGACATATAAGTCTGATCAAAATGCATTTGGCTAATTCAGGATTAGGCAAAAAAATCTAAAGAAGTCTCAAAGCTTTGTGTGTTTTGTATTGCTGTGATCCAAAAAAAAAAAAAAAGTACAGTGCAAAAGTGAAAATATTAATGCACAATTACTGTATATTTGCTACATTTATTATAATTATTTTCAGCCAATAATTAGAAATTGTGCACTAAAATGTGAAAAAAAGCCATATTTGAGTCTGTTCCTGTAGAGGATGTTTTGACTTATTTTCACTTAGAAAATCAACAAAACATGTCATTTGACCATAGTGGTTAAAACTTTCGCAGACGACCGTGTCTACATTTTTTAAACTTTCTACATTATTTGAGCCGAGCAGCTGTCCTTTCCATTGTGTGAAATTTTCACAATGTATGGAGCCAAGAAAAAATCTCTTTACATTAACTTACATTAAAATGTAAAACTTTTTTGCTTCTCCTGTTAAGTTAATATGTTGTAGGTACATGTTTTTATATGTCATTCTACAGAAACGTCCATTTTTGTGTCCCTAGCCTTTACAAATATATATAACTTCATCAAAAACAAGTCAGGGTTACAATTTATTTATATTTTAAAATAAAGCAATAAGTTCTTTTAACAATTCCACCTTCTTGAGCCTCAATTTAGCAATATTGGTTTTTAAATCTGTTATCTAGAATTCCAAGCACAAACACAGAAGAGCTCGTCCTCACAGTCATGTGTGAAGGCTGAGGCCATATTTTTCTGCAATTTTAACTACAATAATCTATACATGACTATAGAATGTATAGATTAAATGACATAAAGAAAACAAATGGCTAATAAATATTATAAAATATATAATGAAAGTTGTTGTCCCCAGGAGTCGTGTCACTGGTGTTACCGCAGAACAAAAAATCTCTTATTTTGAAATAAAAGTCACACTGATGACATCACTTGACTTCCTTTTACCTGTTTTCTGAGGATCTATGAAGAAAAGCTCATGGTGAGTCCACTGTGTCTTTCAGTTATTAGAGATTTTCTCATTTAGCTCATGATTTCAAATGAAGCTTTTAGCTGAAGTCACTGGTGTGACCGACTTTATTCTGAGGTATTTGTGAAAAAACAGAACTCAAATGGATTAAATTCCATATTTTAGTGGATATTCCATGATTGACAACATGTGGTTTGATGCTCTGTAGCAGCCATTCTGTAAAATGCATTGTTCATTAAAATGTCTCTGGTGTTCCCTTTATTATGTGTAACACCAATGAGGATCAGTAACACCAGTGACTCCTATGGACAGATAGAAAAGTGGACGTTTCTGTAGAATGACCCATATACTGAATCTTTCTTGTATATATTAGTTGAACTTTGCTAAGGTCATATCTTCCATGAGCAGTTTCAGGGTCGTGTTATTGGCTGCAGTAAACCCCACTCTGCATCTGTATTTGCTGTGTTCTCTGGTGATGGAGGACTGTGTGAAAGTGGTCTGTGTCTCAGGTTTCCTGCCGTTAGCCCCTGCTGTGGCGGTGTTGTGGGTTCAGCCGTGCCGGCCTCGGGTCAGTTTGGCGGCTCAGCTTATTTACGACTGTCTCCTTTATCTACGCTTCCTGATCAAAGGCCTGTTTGGGTTGGCCTGGCACCTCTGCTCTCCTTCAGGTTGTGTTTGGCACATCCGTGAGCCGTCAGTGTCGTCAGCTACTGTTAGATGGATATTCCAGAGGGGCTGGCGGCTCCAGCGCGCTTGCTTACCCATAGACATCATGAGGTCACAGCTCTGGAGGCCTGTTTTCAGTGCATTTTTCTAGCTGGCACCGTGAGAGGCGCTGCTGCTGTGTCCAGTATCTGTTACCACGAGTCCTCGGTTGCCTGTAAACAACTATTACTGTAGAATGGAAAGTGTGCAGTTCCTTATAATTGTTCAGTTAAACTAATTCAGCATGCATTATCAGGTTTGAGCAGGGGTTAATTAACGAGCATGAGATGTTAGCTGACGCATAATTGCCCTGAAAATAATTACAGTTTACAGTTTGTCAAGTGCAAATCTAAATTGTCTGATTACCTAATAAATCTTGCTATCTATACATTTAAAATGATGGTTCCTCAAGGGTTCTTTAGTAAGGAAAATGGTTCTGTGTAGAACCATGAACACTCAAAAATGCCCTGTGCATAATGAAGTTCTTTTTTATGGTGAAATGATTCTTCAGATTGAAGAATATGCTCTGTGTGGTTCTACATAACACCAGAAAGGATTCTGCTATTGGTACATAGTAGAACTCCTTTTGGTGTTATAAAGAACCCTTTTCAAGAAAGGGTCTATATAGAACCATTTACAGCACATTCTCCATCAGTCTGAAGAACGCTTTAATCATGCAAAGGGTTCTTCAACTGGTACAAGCTTGACATCATAACAATAGAAGAACCCTTTTTCAGAAAAGTGCTATATAGAACCATCTACAACACAGTGTCCATCGGTCTGAGGACCCCATTCATGGTGCAAAGAACCATTTAATCATGCAGAGGGTTCTTTGAATGATCATGGTTCTATATCGAATCATTTTCATTGCTGA